TCACCTTCTATCCATGTGTTTCTGTGTTTGTATATATTTGCAGGGATTGGTGAATGAGATTTGGATCTGGTGATTATCTCTTTGTTCTGCGTTTTTTGTAACGAAATCTGGGTGTGGTGTCCCCTTGGTTGCAGATTTGTTACTTTTGTAATGCGATGTCTTGCTCGAATTGACCACTCAATCGTTCTCTCTAATGTTGCTACCTCGATGGTTACTGGCAAGACTTTCATGACGGTGACGGCGGCGAGCTCTGTGGTTAGAAATTAGGGATTAGGGTTTTAATTTTTATTTATTTAATTAGGCTGTGCTTTTATGTATTTGTTTCCCCAACGTGTTTTGAGTTATTTTATTTTCCTTTGGGTTGGCTTAATCTCCTTTGTGCTTAATGAATTGTTACTTTTTGAAAAAAAAAAAAAACTGGCCAACCACTGAGACTCGAAAGTGGTATTGTCGCGGAATAATCACATATGCTTTCAAGTCTCATATCAGGTACATATGAGAAAATTTGAAGCTCAAGGGGCATTAGAATTAACCCTTAATTAAAAGCTCTTTTTATGAAGAAAAACTGGTTTGGATTAGAAGAGGACAATACACTTTCCTACAAATAACACTTGATTGACTATAGCTTGTGACAAAACTATACAGGCAGAAGTTGAAGGTGGGGACCATGTACATAGGGCCAGTGATGACCTTGACAGAAAATTTTGTTGAACTATATATATATATACACATCTACAAGGTTTGTTGCATTTATCTTATTTTCGTTCAAATCTAATTTATGACGTGTTTTTAAGGTATTTTTTTTGTCCAGTGAAAGTGTTATTTATAATTCATCAGGACGACCAACAAATTCGGAATTACAGAGTTATTCCTCAGCTACACAGCGTCAATATATCAAAAACCCTACAAACTTGGTTAAATGAAACACTATCAACAAAATTCAAATTGAGTTGCTGCAACGTATTAATTGTTTTTATCTTGTACAAGTAGGAATGACTAATTAAATACTTTTATATGAATTGGTTATCCTAATTAGAAATTTAATACGAGTATCATTTAGGTTAAATCATGAAACACTTTAACATTTATTTTATGGGTCAAGGACCACTTAAATCCTTTAAACTTGGATAAGATAATTAAGTGTTAAATTTTTGCTTAAGAAAGATCAGTTCATTCTCCTAATTAAATTCACGTTGATTCTTATAAACCGAATCATTAGATTCTGCTCCGACCCAAAAGAACAAATCACCATGAGATTATGCAGCGGTTCCTTTTTACTTATACGAACAATTTAATTAATTAATTAGAAGAAAAACAGCATGATTGAAGTGCATGGTTCAACTTGTTCTGCAAAATTACCTTTGCTAATGAACATTTCCTGACTCACCAAAGATCAAATGATTTGCATTAAGAAAAATAAGTATGATTTGATCACACATGAATGATTTGTGGCTGTTAATTCACATAAACGACTGAGCTGCAAAATTCTCAAGAACAATAGCACAGTGACACGATTTACATAAAGCAATTAAAAGGCGCAAAATAATAGACTACAGCAGACATCCAAAAACTACAACCAGACGAAGATTTGATATGTACCAAGAGAAGGGGCTACTTGCAAGCAAAAAAAATTGAAAAATACAAAATAATAATCTAAATATTGTATCTCCAAAAGAGGAAGAAGAACTATAGAAACCAATACATCCATTAATGTAAGATTATCTGAGAAATGAAAACTCTCAAAATAATTTATCGCGGAATAAAAATGTCACGCTTCTACTTGGGCACAACAAAGAAGGATATCGAACTACAAGTCCCTCATGATCTCAAAGCAACATTTAACAATAGATACAACAAACTCAACTAGCTCACCTCTCACACTCTAGTGTATAGCATATAGCGAGACTACAAAAAGTGTAAACACAGACAACTCATATATTGGGTTCCATTATTATTACAAATACACTACATACGGTGTTTTGATTACATAAATTGATTCGTACTTGGGTCTTTGCAGTCCTTCCTGGTCTGTATACTAATTACAGACCTTTTCTTCCTTTTTTGGTCTGTACTTGGGTTTTTTTTCTTTTCTTTTTTTTGCCGAGTTTGCAGTTCAAACTCTCTCCGAATTAAAGAATAAGAAACCGAAGAAGAACAACTTGATGAGCAGACAGGGTTCTTGGGTCGTGAAGGCACTTTGTTAATTTAATTATTCAATCAGGTTAATATATTTCTTTAATGGGGTCTTTTAATTAGATCTATATATACATGATGACAAGGAAATTTGAAGAGGGAGTGCCCCGATCTCCATATAATTAATAAGAGGGTGAGGTTATCTCTGTCAGCCTTTCAGATTAACTTACACAATTTCCTGCAATAAAATATGAACAATCTCTTAAAATTTGTGTCAAATTTTAGCCATCAATTCAACACGGATCACTATATGGGTCCAGTGCCTTCAGTCACAGATATATACATACATATATATATCATACATACATACATACATACATATATATATTATATACATACATAACTACATACATACATACATACATATATATATATATATTCCACTTCTTCGGTTTCTTATTCTGTATTTTTTTAATTCTCTTCATAGTATGTAGGCCGGACTATTTCCATAAACAAGAAGAAATGAGAGACTGAAAGTTATTAGATCTGGATTGCTTGTTTTCTTTTCTTTGTACGAATCATGATCTTCATTTTTTTGGGTCGACAACATTGATAGATGCAGGTAGTTAATAAGGCATAACACAAACATGTCTATTGCTGGTGCTAGAAATGGCACATCAGTACATCACATTCAATTATTGGAGTGCACTGTTCCCCACATTGAAATTTTACAGAGCTTACTTTTCTGGATTTGATGTTCGAATAACATCCCTTCTTTTGAACACGATTCTTAGTTTAGTTCGGTTTGAGTACAAATAGAGGATTACACTACTGTAGCAAGTGTGGCTATGTACATGAATGATTAGGTTTCTTTACTTTCGGTGCCTGGCTTTGTAGTAGTATATATGAACATATATATATTTTTCATTTAAATCTTTATTTAACAATGGGCAAGCTTAATTGATCACCCTTTTTCATTACTTTATAAAATGACGAGTTTGAGGATTGTAATTGTCTTTTTTTGTACTGGTGCTTTCTCATCTCATGTTTGCGTGGCTGAATCAACGTTAACTTTAGCCACTAATTAACTTAATGAGGTCGCCATGCATGATGCATGCAGGCATATGTTCCTCCCAAACTTCCTCTTAACTTTTCTTCCACCTTAATTAACTAATGAATCTGGTCCAATAGAAATGAAACTTAAAATAAATAAGTCGGTCCAATCGGCTATTCCTCTCTCTAACCAATAATGTTGCGCGCACACACACGCAGATATATATATATATATATATGTGTGTGTGTGTGTGTGTGTGGGATCTGGCCAGCAACCTAACCAAAAACGTACATATGGCATATGTTGTATATATATATATATATATATATATATATATATGTGTGTGTGTGTGTGTGTGTGTGTGTGTGTGTGTGTGGGATCTGGCCAGCAACCTAACCAAAAACGTACATATGGCATATGTTGCTTTTGTTATAGGTTTATATCAACATCCTACTAATATGTAAGCAATATGCATATTCAACATTTTTGCCATGTCTAGCAATCACCATTGATTTTAGAGAATCCTCGATCACTTTTTCATAATCTGCATGAATCCAAGGCGGTCCCCATGTCAAGCCTATTATATTTAATAATATTGTTGATACTCTACTATATCTCCTTCCATATATTTAATTCTTTTGTACATATAGTCTTTGTAATACTATATAGCTTTTTTCTCTTTGTACATATTTTTTTTTATCCAAACTTTGTAAATATTTTTCATTTCTCTCAAAGGTAAGAAGCAAAATGAATCACTTTCATATATTTTGTGTGTGTTTTTGTTTGGATTACATGGTAATTTAAATTTTTGGTCTTATATATTGCAATTGACTAAATTGAGGATCATAAATAAAAGTAAAATCATGGGTTTATCACTGTGTGAAAGTCATGTCATAGATTGTATGGATAAATTGCAAAACTCTGACCCACAAAATAAAATTATAGGTCTGCCCACTGAATAACTTATCTAATGAATCCCCGCAACAGTAATTAATTCTTATTCGCCCACAGTTTGAAAAATTTTACGTACATACATATGTAACGTAGCTCTACACTGGTAAAAAACTTATTAGCCCACAGTTCGGACATGCATACCATCTAAAACTAATTGGTATTATTTTGTGTTCGCCCACGGTATGAGACAAGAATGTATCATGCTTTAGCCGTTAAATCAAGTTATTTCTCGTTCAAAATTATTGATTCTACGAAATCTTTATTATAACTGAATTATATTTCTTAGCTAATACATTTCATTAGCGTAATCCCAAATACTACCGTTGGATATTACACGTATAATATCTAAATTATTTCAAATTAATATTAGTACCAAAAAAATTCAAAACCTAACCATTTTCCTCCATCTCCCTATTTCCCATTTTTATTTCCCACCTTTTCTTCGTGAAACGAAATGTTGCTAGCTAGGGTTAGATAGAGGCTCTTGATTACCCGCAAGAAAAAACTAGGGTTTCATATTGGATCGCACCCACACTCTCCAACCACTCACCTGAGCCACACGAACCAATCAGAATCCACTTATGTGCAAAGGCATCTTTGGCCCTCCATGACACGACAGGTATAAATAAACTATGCCCCCCACCTGAACCAGAGCGTGCAAACCACGCTCGAGGAACAGTAGCATTTTTTTACCTTCGCTAGGGTTTCCTTTTCCCTTGTCCAAGCCACAAGTGCCGCACATTGAGCCACGTGGGGGCACATGATTGGGCCAGCACCGTTTTCGGCAGTAATTTATTGTATAAAATGCATGTGTTTGGACATGACATGTAGTATGTATGATGATGTTTTTTCAGTACATTCGACGACAAAAGAAATGTTAAAACCCTCTCTATCTCTCTCCTCCTACCATCACCCTCGCTCTCTCTCTACATTTTCGAAACCCCTCTCTCTCCCCCTTTTTTCTCTCTCTCTAGGGTTTTACGATTGTTCGCACTCAAATTCCACTCACCCAGCTTCGAATCTCAGCTGAAAAATTGCCTCCCGATCTTCCCCCTCCGCCGCTCTATCCTCCAGTGCCGTTTTCCGGACGCGCCGTGGAGGATCTGGAGCTTAGCTTCGTACGACGTCGTTTCCGGTGGTCGCCGATTTGCGTTGAGGTTTCAGGTCGGTTTTTTTCTGCTAGATTTACTCTTTTATTCAATTGGGTTTTGAAATCGATGATGTTTTTGGATTTAATTAGTATAAAGTTTGAAGCTTTGAGCTGATATTTTCAGCTACTAATTAGTTTTTATCTTTTTTAAAAATATTTTTTGAGCTGGGTTTTACTGTGTATAGTACGTCAAGTTTTGGGCTTTACTTTCCATTTCATTATCTGGGGTTTGTTATTACGCTCAGCTTAAACAATTCTATGCGTTTTGGGTGTCATTCATGTCGTTTTGATGTGCTTGGACTCAGTTAATTGTCTAGTGACTGAATATTTATAAGTTATATAATGAAAGAACCCTAATTTTTTTTTGTTAAGTTGGTTGATTGACATGCTTTTATTTTCCGATTCGGAGTCTCCTAGGGCGAGCCTGAAATGGGTTGTACGATTGTTGCTTACCTTGGAATATTCATACGACCTAGATTGCTCTAATTGAAACAAAACCCTAATATGAGGTTTTGCCTTATTAATTGTTCCTAATTTTGTGATTGAGTTTGCATCTTTAAAGGTGCATTTAGTCGTGTGAATAATTTGATCGTTCCTAATATGAGGTTTTGCCACCGCAGATCCATCTTTATGTTGATTCGTGGAATGTTAGGGTTTCTACTTTCTTCCCTTGGGTTGTTATACATGTATGTATCTATGCTTGTATATCAATGGAGTTTGTTATTTTATGTGCAATGTCACTGTATGATGAGGTGTTTTACCTTGTCATCTATTTCTTTGATAATTTTGACTCAAAATAATTCATTGCACATGAGAATTGTAGTCGGTTGATTATAAACCCTAATAATTGTGTTTGTGACTTGGACCAAGATTTTCTCTCACGTGATATAGATCGGTGCTTTCTTTACACTTTCCTCGGTGTTCTCCCTCCCATCATATGATAATGATATCACTCAAGTAATTGTTTCATTTGTGTGAATGTAGGAAGTACTGTATTAGGAACACTGTGATCTGGTTAGATGCTATAACATGGAGAAGGGGCTTCTGATCGACAATAATCATAAGAGGAGCGATCCTATTATTGCCTCCAAGTCGGTGGGATCGTTTGTGAAAATTGATTCAATATCTATTGATCTTCCTGATGCGAATGACAAGAGTAGTAGCCATGCGGGAAACTGCGAGCATTTCACTATATGGTAAGATTGTATGCCTTGTGGGAAATTACTCACTTGTTCCTAGTAAATTAATATGAATCTTTTGCTAACAACTTAACTGATTTATATTTCTTCATATTCAAAATTGGAAGCTGTCATTTCTTTTGGTAAAATTCCAAAACTCTAATTTGGATATAGATTGGTCTGGTTTAATTATTTTCTCCATTATTAAAGGTTATATATTAAGCTATTTTGCAGCAGTATGTTATGGATAAAGAAGTCTAATCTCTTTACTTTTTAGTTCATTGTATTAGCACACTTAAAGTTGGGATTGGACTCTTTGGTGCGGTAAAGGTTTTCATCAGCAATCATATGGCACACTAACTAGTGTGCATGTTGCTAATATAACAAGATGGTGTCTGAAAAGACATAAGTACTTAAACAATGGGGAAGATATATGTGTGTGTGTGGAGCATTATTTTTTAAAGAATAAGTTGTTTGTAGTAAATAATTGAATTCTACGTTACCCATGGATCTTTTCATCAAATGAAACTTCTGTTTTATGTTTTGGATATAGTGGTTATGTAGCTGAAGTTCGCAAAAAGAATTGGAAGCTATGTTGGCCATTTCCTTTGGATGGTGAGTTTGATCAGGAGCCAACATCCTTGCTTCCTCCCTTGGATCCTCCAAAATTCAGAAGGTGGTCTTGCCAGAATTGTGTGCAGGAAACTGGTTCTGAGAGTATTGCAAAAGATCATGGTACGGACATGCGTATAGGATCTGATTCCAATAACAATTGTGCTCAGATCCCACCCCTCAGTGATGCTTCACTGCTTCTGTTAGATTATGAGAAAGGTTCAATTTCCAAAATTGTTGATGGAAAAAGTGCTGAAGCTCATATTTCTGTTGTTGGAATTGGCAATGAGCAACATCCTTCGTCATCTACTTTTGATAAGAAAGAAGGGAGGCATGAAGTTTCACTCACTGCCATCACAGGTAAAGTCAAGCTTGATTCAACTTAATAGACTGTTGGCTATGTTATAGTCTTTTGATTAATTTACTTTTTGTGTTTCATCCAGTGAATGAGAATGTCTTAGATAATTATGCGAGTCATGAAATGCCGAGACTCAATTCTGTTGGGCCAGAAGTTGACCCAAAAAGGACGCAGGAGGGACATAAAGATAACACAGGTTTTCTTTCCCTTTGTTAAAAAGTGATAAAATAATTTGGTTGAAAAATATTTACCTGTAATTGCCACGGGTAAATTTAATTTGCAAAGAAAAAACAACAAAATTACATTACAACTTCATATGATCTCTCAGAATCATATTGTCTTTGATTTCTGAAGCAGAAGCAGTAAATTTGGAGAGCAATGGATCTGTTGAAGTCTGGAAATTAGGATGTGAAAGTCGTGGTGGTACCAACCTTCAACTCCATTTCTCAAACAAAAAATTATTCTGGAATAAGAATCTTGCCCAGACTAGTGAAGCTGATCACCGACCTTCTGCAGAAGAAAATCACAAGGAGTCAATGACTGCCTCTGGGACATGTAAGATAGTCGGGACGGTTGACAGGGTAAGTGATGCTACCAAGGGCCAGACCATCATTAATCATCCTCTGCATGAGTGTGATTATGCATCATCGGAAAATCCTGAGAAGTCGAGTAGTTTGAATCGTAAGAAAGGTCGGAAGGTGCGTGTGCGTCTGCTGAGTGAGTTGGGTGATGCAAAGCCTGATTGCTTCAGGACAGAAGATTCTCCATCCAACAGAATTAGCAATACATCTGGGAAAGCAACTGTTTCCCAAGGCCAGGTGTCTATCCAAGAAAGTGCTAGAGTGGATCTCGGTGAGAATAACAAAAGGAAATTGCCTGAGGAAGAGGAACAGAGATGCATAGAGAAGAGCCATCCTAAAAGTTTGAATAGAAAAGTTAAGACTTCCAAGCGAGATGAAGAAACCACCGGAAGCGTTGCAGATTCTGAGTTAGAAGAAGATGCAGTTGCCAGAGTATCTTTGCAGGCAGATATGAGGAGCAACTGGAATGGATCCGAAAATGAAAGAATCCCGGCTGCTGGTAAGAAGAAAATTATGAAATCCAATGATATTGGCGCATGTTCATCCTTAGTCCCACCCAAAGATATTGTGCCAATAGAAGCCCTAGACAAAGTTGGAAATTCAAGTAAGGGTAATGCTACTACAAGTGCTTCTTATAGTCCAGCGTATGATGCATCCACAGGTAGAGGGATGGATCAAATTGCTTTGCCTGCCCCAAAAGCAGGTAGAAAGTCCGGTTCCTGTAAGCGGAAAGACAAGATGCCGGAAGTTGATAACGGACTGGCTTCTCTATTTCCTTGGCTCACGAAATGCCCAAATACAAGGAAAGATGTAGAATTCATGCAAACTGGGAATCCATTTCACTGGGCAGAAGATGCACCCGCTGAAAAAGGGTTGGATCTTTCTCTTAACAGCTATTTGTCTGCACAAAGAGATGACAGGAAATCTATTCCTCAGTCTGAAGATGGATTTCCTTCCTGGTCAATTCAGAAAGATGGAACCGGCAAACTAGATGAGTTTATTAGGAAAAATGCAGAAGCCAGCGCAAATCTGACCAAACTTCCTAAAGCCATTTCAAATGCATTTTCTGGGAAAGTAGGACATGATGATCTGAGTAGTAAATTTTTCACCTACAGCATGCCTATCCCGAATGAGAAGCAAAACTATAGCCCCCAGGTTGAAGGGAGATGTTTGTTGCAGCATATGGTAAGAGCTTTATTCTCTTCTTACTATTCCCTGGATGAATGTTTTCATCTCGATGGCTGCATGATATACGTCCAGAGCAATTGCATGCTTCTTCTGTATATAAGGTTTAGCATATGCAACTGTGCCGTTATAAAATTGTTGTGAGATCATAAATCACTCATCTGTATCAAGTTCTTATCGACACAGTTAATACTCTAGTGGAAACTAGTAGGTTTTTTATTATTTGAACACTGCTGATTGGTGTTATAACTAAATAATATGTTTTTCCTATTTCCGCTGCACATGCTGATATGCGAAAATTAGCAGCATTGATGAAGTGATTCAACGGATCAATTTATAAAGTTCCCTTTTACTTCTAGGTAGCCCGTAGAATCATATTGCACATTTCTCATATCTGTAGTGTAAACACTAATATGCATAACTATCTTCTCTATTTCTAGTTTTATTTTGCAATTTTTTTCTATGATAATTGATTTTCCTATTCAGGATATTTCTCGTGCAAGAAACAAGGAGAAAATTGAGGTTCCGAAAAATTCAGCTGTGCCTGTTAGTAGGAAAGATAGCAAGCAAAGAGCTGAAAAGACGTCTCAGAAGGGAGCTGCAGATGACATACCGATGGAAATTGTTGAATTCATGGCGAAAAATCATTATGAGAGAAATCAGAAAGTTTTGGAAGCAGGCATTAATGCAAGGAATGTTCAGGCGATGGATCATAGTTATGGCATTGGGAACTTAAGAATATTAGAGGAAACCAGTCAGAAGCGAAAACCTCAGGCAAGAAAGGCAAAAGATGGTGCAACCGCAAGAAAAAATGTGGGACCTTCCAAACAGAAGTTAGTTGACTTTTCTACTTATATCCCCGGAAAAGACATATTCCGTCTCGATCAAATGCATTGCGCTGTAGGGTTTAATGCATTTGGTCAACCTAAAAAGAAGATGAGTACTCGAGAGCAATTTCCTGCTGCTGGTTACAGCAGCTGTAGTTGTGCCCAAAATTGCAAATGGAATGGAGATATGATGAGCGATGGGTTGTCAAATTCTAGCTTGCGTCCGTCTGTTCCACAATCAAAGGAAGACGCAGCTCTCCTATGGTCACCTGCGTTGCCAGCTCAAACAGCCTTAACACACTACAATCCTCTTAAGTATGGAGCTCAGCCTTCCAATGTCGATATGCTTTCACACCCTCCTGGCTCGCTGCATAAGGGAAACTTCCGTGGGGATTATGGCCTGAAATTATTTAATTTAAATGCTACCAACCCGGAAAAGCATAGTGAAGGTGTTGGTTCTGAAACTTTCAGCAGAACAAATGCAGAGTACTCATTCACTGGTCAACGTAATGCGACCGAGCCTCCTCAGGGTTCAGCGGGTTCTTTTGATCTATATTCTAATGAAACCATACCAGCAATGCATTTGCTCAGCCTCATGGATGCAGGTATGCGGTCAGGTCCAACCTTGAACATTGCTGGAAACCCAAAATTTCCCAAGAGGTCCTTTGATCTTTACTCTAAGGAGTATTCTGCAGCGGATGCTGGTGTTTATAAGGTGGCTGATACCGTCAAGCATCCATCATCCAGTTTTTGCGGCAAAAATCACATTTCTGAGAAGTCTCTTGACCTTTTTCCTATGAATCCGGGTGGTACATCTACCTCTTCTTATCCTAAAGGATTCAAAAGGGCTGCCGTAGAGCATAGAGGCTCTGGATCCCAGAATTCTGCATCCAAAGGTGGTGTCTTGGGCAAAAATCATGGAACTATCCCTGTTATGCAGAAGGGGATTGCTATGCTGGGTGATTCTATGATGTTTCCCCAGCACGGCCACAACATTGAATATCCAATGCTGCAGAAATTGGATACTCATAATGCTAATGGGGCCATGAGGCCTCCAAAGAGCAGTCCCAATTCTTTAATCTGCGCCATAAACAAAAACCCAGCTGAGTTTAGCTTGCCAGAAGATGGCAATGAGTACATGATTAGTGGGAAAGACCTAAAAGTTGGGAAGCAGAGGCATGGCTTCGTACAAGTAGATCAGAACAAGCAGCCGAAGAAGAGGAAACAGACTACAGGAAAGGGACGTGCACAACAATGAGTTTGATGAGGTTCCTGATATATCTTTACTTGTAGTACTGTATAACCCTATAATAGCTAAAGTGCTTGAAACAAAACTCTTTACTCACCTGCCTGGTATACAACGTTTTCTTATTGCGCTTCTTATTCAAAATCACAAATTCATCATTTGGGATTAATTTGTTTAATTTTAACAGGCAAAGATTTCCCCAGCTAGCTACTGCAAAATAAGCTTTAGAGAGGATCCAAGTTGTAGTCGTATGAAGCTGATATTAGTCAGAGACTCGAAAGCTGAGAAGCGGAGTTTATAGCAGTCATACTGGGTGGAGGTCAAGGCCTGTATTATAGCCTTCATATGTCTTGACCTGCCTGTGCTGTTGGTTTTGTATCAAGTCTTGTTCTTTTTTATCCGGGGTCATACATTCTCGAGGACAAAGTTATGATAAACTTTCGCAATGACAAGACGGCATTCTTACTGATGAGTTACTTTCATGGATAAAGCTTAAAATTGCAATTCTATAGTTGCCAAATACATGTGAAAGAAGACAAAGTATGCTGTTATGTGAGTGAATTGAGAATAAGATTTTGCCTCATCTCTATCAAGCACTTGAAAGAGATGAGCACATCTCTCTCTCTCTCTCTTCTCCCCCCCCCCCCCCACCACCACCACCACCACCACCACCACAGACAGAGTTGATTTCTGAGTCTCTTTTATTCTGGTAATTTTGCACATCTTAGTTGGGCGTGTGGCAAGCGAATTTGGGCGGGTGCTTTGAAGTGAAAGTGCAAAACCTAAAATAAAAAGGTTTTGGATTTGAGTGATTTTTGGTAGACATGATATTTTGAGGAAGACTTAAAAAATAGAAGATTTGGATTGTCAAAGAAAGTTACGGAGTGTGCCTTACAAAATGTGTGTCAAATAATGGATGTCCCCTGATCCTAACCCTTATGCGACTTGAGGGCTACAACTTAATACATAGATAAAGGAAAATGATTTCTACACTCATTTTCTCGTTTTGCACAGCCCCTATCAATTCCTATATTTTGATTCGTTTTGCTTTATTCAATGGGTAGACAAAAAATGGAGAGAGGTGTATAGGGGAGAGAAAATAAGGTGTGAAAATCATATCCTTAGTGTAACTCTTTTGCTTGTGCTACAGAATTAGTGTGTTTGAGTCGTTACAGCTTACATGTGAAATCAAACTTGAGACAAACTATTATTTCAATTTTTGCATATATAAACATTCAAAAGTAGGTCTAAAATTATATCAAACGATTCTTCAAATCAACTCATGCACGCAACTTAAAGCATAGCGAGGTAGCCTATGAGTTGCTTCGTGTCAAACATGATTACAACTGACGCATGAGAATGACTGCAATAACAGTGTACTAAACTGGCACATGTTTTCATTATGGTGATGAAGAGTTTTAGTTTTAATGATAATACAATTTTCATGTAAATTTTGAGATAATTTCTTTAAAATTTCGGAGGGAGAGACTGTCTTTTTAAACCTTAAATTACATAATAAATCCCTCAAAATCCTTTGTTTTTAAAAATTCTTTAAATGCATGTGGTCAATTGCCCCCAATAGTTAAGATCTTATATATATCCTCCCACTTCACTTAATATAGCTCATATTTGGACTATCACTAGTAATAATAAGGGTAAAAGACTGTTTACTACCCTCATGTTTCGTAGTTTTCAACATTTAGTACATTAAGTTTTTTTCGTCTCAGAGTAATACCGAAAATGTAAATTTTGTGACAGTCTCATACATCCGTTAGTCAAACTGTTAAGTCTCCCGTTAACTATGACGTGGTGCTTATGTAGACACTGACTGGACGCTACGTATCATCCACGTGAAAATTAAAAATAAATTATTTATTAAATAAATAAATAAAATTATATATATATTTAAAAAAAAAAGTTGCAGTCGGAGGAAGAAGAAGAAGAAGGAGGAAGAAGAAAAAAAAAATCTTCCCCAGATTCGGAGGAAGAAGAAGAAGAAGAAGGAGAAGATGGGGAAGGAAGAAGGAGAAGAAGGAGGAAGAAAAAAAAAATTTTTAAAAATAAAAAGTTGCAGTCGGAGGAAGAAGAAGAAGGAAGAAGAGGAGGAAGAAGAAGAAAGAAGAAAAAAAAAAAAAACGAATCTGCAACCCAGATTCGGAGGAAGAAGAAGAAGAAGAAGAGGAAGGAAGAAGGAGGAAGGAGGATGAAGAAGAAAAAAAAAAAAATATATATATATATATATATATATATATATATATATATCTTCCCCAGATTCGGAGGAAGAAGAAGAAGAAGAAGAAGAAGAAGGAGAAGGAAGAAGGAGGAAGGAAGAAGGAGAAGAAGGAGGAAGAAAAAAACTTAATGTACTAAATATTCAAAACCGCGAAACATGAGGATAGTAAACAGTCTTTTACCCTAATAATAATATAAAAAACTTTAAAATAAAATCCTAAGTGAATACCCTCTTTTTTTCTTTTCTATAACTCCTTTAAAATCTTAATTAATACATCCATATTTCTATGAATTTTTATCAAATCTGCTAGAGCAGATTTGAAATTTACCACTTTTATTAGAATGTTTTTCTTTTGCATAATTGATTCTTTGAGAATGTCATTTCCAGCTTAAGGAGAAAGCTAGGGGTAAGAACTAATGGCTCCCATCATAATCTTCTTTCCGTTTGTTGTTGCACAAAAGCCAATTGGCTTTATGGGTTAGGTCCCTCTCCTAAGTCCAAAACAGGACCTACTGCTTCAACCTAAAAAAGAAGAGTTCTAGTATTGCCCCCAATATATTATACAATATGTACATATATATATACACACACACACACGATTTTAATTAAAAGCCAAAATATCAAACTTTTATTCCAATTAAATACAGGAAATTGTAATTAAAAAAGATCTTATAGATAAACATGCTTATTCTTATAACAGATTAATATATATTTTATTATAATTTATACATCATCCAAAGCTTTTCACCAACCTAATATTTCGTTTCCTAGCTTTAATTATTTAACGCATTATATAAGTCATGAAAAGAGCTTGAAAACTTTGAGTTTTAATGATAAGGACAAAATAAAGGGTAAAGTGAATAGTACCATGATTGACTTTTTAATGTAAAAATGTGATTTTTCATTAAAATGAACAGTACCAGGAGCTTTTCGTTAAAGTTCCCTTATATTAATGATTTCATCATCGGTCGGCTGGAGTATATGTAAAAAATATATCAGAGGCTTTTCATTATCGGTCCATTTGTTTATACCACTACAGCAAATTAAAAGGTGCGGTCCAACCTCATAAACCTAGCTGCCACATAGACATCTAAGTAGGTTCATTGTTGCCATGTTTTACCCCAATTGCCAGTGTTTAGAAGCCTTTTGAACGCGCGACTGCCTTCACTGATAGCAACAAATTCGGCTCCACTGCATACGTTACAACTTGGAATTACTTCGAAGATTTGAAGTGTTAGAAATGTCAAAGTTGAAGCATCTGCATCCATCGCTCTTCGTCAATCTCGAAACCATGGTAAGGCGCTGCAGTATGAATGAGGGTACAGATCTCATATGCTATGGAAATCTTATTTGACATATCGGCTCCACTGCAAATGTTACAATTTGGATTACTTTGAAGATTTGAAGTGCTAGAAATGTCAAAGTTGAAGCATCTGCATCCATCGCTCTTCGTCAATCTCGGAACCATGGTAAGGCGCTGCAGTATGAATGAGGGTACTGATCTCATATATATGCTTATGGAAATCTTATTTGACATGGTTTTTGTTTTGCATTATATTTTTTTAGAATTATTATGCAAATCGACCTAATTTGTATATCTGGTTTGGTTTGGTTGATGTTCGGGTGTGCGTTGTTGAAGCTTATGCATAGGTTCCCTAAACCTGCAGCTAGTTATTAGGTTACTGTATTGGTCATGATGCTTATGTCTAGTCATTCTAATAAATAGGTTCATTGGGACGCTACTTCGCTGCTGAACATTTCAGTAGGAGGTCCTGCTTACAACCAATCCCGGATGAACATGTGTCCAAATTTTAATTTTTTAAACTTGGACATATATCCATCTAGAATTGGATGTAAGCAAGACCTCCTGCTGAAATTTCAGCAGCCAAGTCTTATTCCAATTGGACAATATGCCAAATTGGACAATACATCCATTTATATTTGATTTGTAGAATTTGCGAACCTAAGGCTAAGATTGTGGAATGTACAAGTGGTGTACTAACTAAATTTTTTGCTGTATAATTACAGGACCAAAAGAGATGGAAACCATGCTTAGCTCGACACCAATATGAATCACGATTGAGATTAATTTGTTGTATAATTTGGAATATATAATAGGATAAATTGGTGAGCTCCCATACGATCTGTATTCATTTCCCTCGTTTGCTAATCTTCCATGCAAGTAGTGCATGCAGAATTTGATAACTGCTTTCTAATCGGTGTAAATTATAACAGCTCATATTTATTGGTACTACTTAATTAATTTACTGAATAACCAAAGTAAGTGTGGGCATTGCTAGGTTGGTTGGATTGGATTGGACTTTAATCCGTGAGTCAATTTAATAGGCTCGAGCTGACATTAGTGAAACTCATTTCCACCCAAGAGAATGGCCAAATTAACCAACCCCACCAAACCATTAAGGCGGGTTGAGTTGAACTGGTTCAACGGGTTGAGATTATTTACTTTCTTTGTTATTTTTAAATTGAGTATTAGTGACAAATAATTCAAAATACAACTTAAATAATATAAAATTAATGTTGTAGAATCACTATTGTGACTTAATATTTAAATTTCATTATTTAACTAAAGTATATATAAACAAGTGTGTTTTTTTTTTTTTTTTGGTCAAATGAGATTTTCAATATAACAACCGAAAAGTCAAAATAAAAGAATAATAGAAAAATGCTTCGTTACACAGCAGGCTCCCTCACGAGTGTGTTTAGTAACTATTAAATTTTATGTATATGTCTATGTACGCATATATTTATGTTTAAGAATTGTTGATATTCGGGTGAGCCAGTTTTAATCAAGTTAATAATACATCAATCCAAACCACTCATCTATTGGAAGGGTGGTCATGTTTTTTATTTTTTTATTTTTTATTTTATTTATTTATTTATTTTTATTTTTTTTTTAAGTTTACAACCCAACTCAACCCCACGAATTTTGGTTGGGTTGGTCGTAAACCCACTAAAGTGCCTACCGCTAAACCAAAATTTAATTTGTTTTGTATTTAAAGCTAGCCTTGTGGATTTAGGTTTTCTTGTTTAACAACGATGGTTTTATTTCCTAATTTTTAGTTAGTTAATGTTGTATTCATTTGTTTCCTATAAATACCTCTTTGTAAGAAAATTAAAATGTTGCATTCAATAGACCCTAACTTTCAACTTGGCATCAAATTCAGCCGGGTTGGCTCTTCTTGTACCCGTTCCTCTGCAATCTCCTTTTTTCGGCT